CTCCTTTAGTGCAAAACCAAGGCAATACACAATCAGCCCTCCACCTCTGTAAACTTTAGAAAATTACAATTATGTACAAAGTAAATAGCCCTAAGATTCTTTTGCAGTATTTTCAGCATTTCATTTGTTCTCTTTTTCTGTGTCAATGACAAAAAAGCAACCACCTCAAGCACTTATAAAGCTATATAGAGCAATCACCTCATAGGTAAGATCATTCCTGGGAGAGAAGGAATGCTGATCTGTGCATCAGAGGCTGAACAAAGATGACAACCATATGTCACTTGGCAGAAGTCAGGGTTTGTTTGTTGCTTTTTCAGTATCCCAAATGTAATGAATTATAAAATAGAGCCTAAATTAATAGTCAGGGAGGACTTTACCAGGGCCCCACACTTAGGAGATGCTCATCTGGGAGAATCTCTTTCAACTCATAAACTGTTTGACTTGATCAAAGGTTCTTGCTTTTCAGTTGACTTCCATATAATACTCAGACTCAAGAGCTTCATGAAACAAGAGCCAGGCTGCCTCCCAGAGAAAATTCTAATCCCAGTGAGATGTCAGTCTCATCTTGAAGGCAGGAGATCCAACTGTTTGGAAAGTAGGAACTTTTAAATATTAATATGCTCATACAATAAGGATTGATAGAACTGCCAGTCTCTATTCTTTAGCAACTTTGTACCATCTAGACTAATATTTGAAAGGTCTTTAACTGCAACAGAATGTACATACTTGATGTTTAATGACATTAGAACGATTAGACAAGTCCATTGTCTCCACTGGGGGTAGGAGGGTTTAAATGGTGTTAACCCAACTTCTGGAGAAAAGATAAGACAGTGCCAGAGACAAAGCTTTTCTAATTTTGAGTAAGTGCTATTCTCAAGAAGTCCAGCATTTGCTGGTTATATGAGACACTGGATTCATCCAAAGACTATACTGAATTTCATAAATAAGAAATCTTCCTGATGTGTCTGCTTAATGAAAACCAACTTATTTAAGAGACTGAGTCCTGCTTTCCCAGAAGGCTACACAGGACTTTGTGTGTGCACACAACTGAACCTCAGGAAAGGACAAAAATATATTAGGTCAGAGAGAGAACTCACACTTTCAGTATCTTTGCATAAAATCAGATTTTCCATAGCAAATTAAAAGCAAGGAGCAGAAACAAATATAGACAAAAAACAATTTTACCTTCAAGGTCTTCTACTGCTAACTGTTAAGACTTAAAAGGGTTTATAAACATAGCATCCCTACCTCACAAAAAAAACCCCAAAACAACAAAAAAGACACACCTGACATTGGGACCTTGTGGTTTAGATTTTCCCCATATCAAGAAAGGTGGTAGAGATGTGAGCTTTACAAAATTCCTGAATAGAAGTTAGCATTAAGCAACCATGAAAAATCATAGGTAATGCAAACTGCCCAAGTCTGCGGTATACAAGGTCTTCAAGAAGACTGATGTCTTCTCTGTGGATAAAGTGATGCTGTCACTTTTGGCAAATTATCACAGAAGAACCATTTGGAAATTCTACTGTGCCAAGCTTAGATAAAGGCCTAGGTATGTTTACACCAAGCAGGGCAGTGCCACAGAGATGCCAAAGACCGTTGTGAATGACTTGGGTATCTACGCAGCACAGTGTCACATGGAGATATTAGTTCACATGTCAGAAGGAATACAGCCACATTAGCATGGCTCTGTTCCCAGGCTAATTAGGTGATGTTTCCCCAGTTGCCAGAAATCAGAGTGAATCATACATCTGCCAGCATCCAACTTTCCTCTGAAAGCACAGACTGAAACTATTTTGAACCTCAGTTATACGAGAATGCAAGGTGAATACAAAGACATAATATAAAAATTTTACTTTGATTTAAAGCCAGAAGGAATCATAAATGTAGCAACAGAAAAAGGAGTAATGACTTTAAACAGGAAGAGGGTAGATTTAGGTTAGATATGAGGAAGAAATTATTCACTGAGAGGGTGGTGAGACACTGGCACAGGTTTCCCAGGGAAGTCGTGGTTGCCCTTTCCCTGGAAGTGTTTCAAGGCCAGGTTGGATGGGGCTTGGAAAAATCTGGTCTAATGGGAGGTGTCCCTGCCCATGGCAGGAGAGTTGGAACTGAATGATCTTTAAGGTCCCTTCCAACCCAAACCAGTCTGGTATTCTATGATAAATTGAAGTTATTTGACCTGTTAACAGAACCACTACACTTCAGACACACACCATTGTGTCCAGCAAATGAACTTCAGTCAGTCTGAAACACTGAAGTCCTTTAGAGACTGACCCATTGGAAGTGTGATGCTGGCAGGGCACAACTATATGCTGTCAAAGACAAGACTACAGGCATGGTACATGACTGATTAGGTGGCAGTTACCCAGATTATTTTAGCAGAAATCTATTCCTCATACTGCTCTGGAAGATGAAGAATCCTATAGTCCTCACCATTAGATTCTATGGTGATTAGATTATATTGGTGATCTATATGGTGATCTATATGGTGATCTAGATTATATTAGATATAGATTCTATATCTATTCATAAGATTCTATGATTAGTTCCCAGCTCTGGTAATCAGGATGAATCCCAACATGTGAACAAGACATTAAACTATTGTCTAGAAACAGGACTCCCTGCCATATCAAAACAACCAGCCCATTACAAAGAAGCCAACCTCTGGTGATGGTAAGGGAAAAGAACAAAAAAAGACCTAAAAACCCCCCCTGGTAGAATAAGGAGAAAACCTTCTTCTTGACCCCTATAAGCAAACCACAGAAGTTCAGATTTGAAGCTGGTCACTGTCTTAATGCAGAGCTACAAGTGTTTCTAGGATGGTGCAGTGAAATTGCTCTCAACTTAACTATGAAGGAAAGAGTTGAAAAGGGAGGCTCATAAATTAACAGATCCCAGTATAGGCCACCTCACTTGACACACAGACATAGAATTTCTTGTCATGACTTAAAGCAAGTGCCTCTTCCAAAATGATAAACGATCTCATCTTAAATACTCAAAAGGATGGTGATGGAAAGAATATTCCAATGCTTAATTACACAGAGAGCTGTGAAACGATTTTATTCCAGGGTGGAACTTTTCAACTTTCAGCTTCCAACTACTGGAACTTCTTATGGATTACCAGTGGTTGGGTGTCCTGGTTTGAGCCAGGATGAAGCCAATTTTTCTTTTTACTGATTTTTTTTTCCTTCAGTAAGCTTTCTTGTACCTAGCAACAGTGTGTTCTGCTAGGCTGATAAGACACTGGAATGTTTTTCTAACTACTGAGGCTTCAAGGCTGCACCTGCACTCTGCCAGCTCAGACACTATGGGGAGATCTGTGACCCCCCCCGTAGGAGGCTGAGTTAGATGGACAGCAAAATTGGCCAGAGATATTCCATTCCATATATCTACGTAAGCTCAGAGGAAGGTCAGAGATCACAGAAGACAACTTCCTTCCTTCTTTTTTTTCTTCCCTTCTCTTCCGTCCATGGCCGGTGTCCGGGGAGGACTCTGTTCATCCATCACCGTCGACCCTGAGGCTTGATCTCTCGTGACCCCCATAACTCTCTGCTTTCTCCAGCAGCAGCTTCGGGATTCCTCGGGACTCTTCCCAGTTCAGGGAAGTGCTGTGGGAGTTGCTGGGGTGGGGGGAGGCAAGAGGCTTTTGCCCATTCCTGAATATATTTGTATATAATTGTATATATTTTCTTGTATCATTCACTAGTGTTTTAATTAAAGCTGTGTAGTTTAGTTTTCAATCCAGCCAAGTCTCTCTCTTTTTCTCTCTCTCCTTCCCTACTTGGGTTGGGGGGAGGGGGGATCGAGAGCATTGTTGTCGGACCTGAGTTAAACTGTGACATTGGGTCATCAGTCTCACTATCAGGTACCTGCTCCTCACATAAGTACCTGTAAAGATTACTTGATCATAGTGTTATGCCCCTTCAGTGAGTTGAACATGTTTATTCACAGCACCAGGCCAATTTCCTAGGCTCCATGTCCTTTTCCTGTGCTTCCATTGAATCCCCAGCAATATTTCTGTATAATTTTTTGGTATGTCAACACAGGAACTGCACTGAATGTTCTGAAAATCTACTGACTCTGCATCTGGAAAATAGCTTTCATACTCCTGACTGAGGCTTCCCTTCTCACACAGGCATGAGTTGCAATAGCCATTTTTGTCTCTCAGCTCACTGGAAGACACTCATCCACAATAGCCCCTGGATCCCTCTCAGAGTTACTGTTTCCCAGGATGGCACCACATTTTGAAGGTATCATCCGCATTTTTTGTTCCCAGATGTAGTAACAAGTGGCATAATTATGATAGCTGTTAAAATATTGAAATGAGTTACTGTGTGTAATATTTCTGGGAAATGGTAGAAAGGATGATGTTTATTGAAACGATATAAACATATAAAATGTTTTCTCAACACAGTTTCCCATTTATGTTTGCACAGATGTGTGCAATGTCATCACAAAGCCTCTTCCAAGAAAGATAAATTAAATCAAAAGGTTTGAATAAGAATAGCTAGAATGTTCTGCTGGTGCTTCTACACACCATCTCTTACCTCTTTTTGTCCTCTTTTCCTAATAATAAAAGATAATCTCTGCCATAGAAAAATATAAAAAACAAATGAAATTTTTTATGAAGGATAAAGGTGCCTGGCACAAATATGACCAGCTCTGAAGCTGGGAAGAAATATCCTTTAATTTATGAGACAAAAGATAGCATTACAGAAGAAATTGTCATAATCAAAGTTGAAAAAAAAATTCTATTGTCTGCTCTGCCTCTCTGTGGGAATTTTCCCAGCACAGACAGCTGTAAAGGAGGAGGGTTATTGTGAGTTTCTGTACTCTCATTCTCTCTATTCCTCTCTTTCTCTGTCAATAAATGTCTGCAATCATATTCTTGAGCTCCAGTGTGATTTCAAGGTTCATCTATTCCATGCAGCTCAAACACTAATTATCCCAGCTGTAATTAGTAAGATAATTAAATACTGGCTCACTCATCACTCTACCTTGTGTCGGGTCATGATTCTCCCAGAAGACCTTGAGCAGTTTCTCAAAGCTGATGCTTTCTGGCTGATAAACTACTCGTACAACCTCTGCGTGGCCAGTTCTCCCTTAAAAGACAAAATAAAATCAGATGTTACTAGTGAGAATAGCTAGAGTATATCTAGTGTTTTATATTAAGATCTAAAACACAGTTTTTTGTTTTCCTTTTTTTTGCCTTAAAGGTGTTTTGTCATTTATATACAATATTTTATATACATGTCAACTTTAAGATGTCTGCTAGTTTGGACAAGGCCATCGTGAAATAAACTAATCAGAAAAGCAAGAATGTAAGACAGGGATGTTATTGCAGTAGTCTCTCAGGTTTGAGGAGAAAAAAAAAAAAAAAGAATAGTTCTTAAATAATATAATCTTAATAAAAACTAGTAAAGTAGTTTAAATAATCTAAACGCAACAATAAAATAAGAAAACTTGCAAGTCAAAGTCTTCTTGACAGTAAAAAACTGGGCCTCATTGCCATCAGGTAAGATATGGATAAAATAATTGACTATAAAAACAAATGTAAAGGACATGTTTACACAAGAACACATAAAGAATTTCAAACTGTTTCACACCATCCAAACCACTGATGACAACAGACTTCAAAAATAGTCAAAGAGAGCCTGACTGAATTTTACAATAGCAGGTGAAGTTCAAGGAAGATTCACAGGTGTTACAGCACATTAAAACATATTATTCTGATTTTTCAGTTATGGGCATGATTTTTTCATTCCTTATGTGCCTAATCACAGAATCTTATGGGTTGGAAGGGACCTTGCAAGATCTTGCCAGAGCAGGATCACCTAGAGCACATCACACAGGAAGGCGTCCAGGCAGGTTTTGAATGTCTCCAGTGAAGGAGACTCCACAACCTCTCTGGGCAGCCTGTTCCAGGGCTCTATCCTGATGTAATCACTCTCAATACCACAGAAAGACCCAGCTTCACAAAATGTGAAGGATCTGGCCATATAATTCACTTTAACCAGTAGATTGATGAGTGCTCAGATACCTCAGGGTGAAAGTCCATTGCAATGAGTGCTACCAAGTATTTTCTGGTTTATATTTTCTAAAAATTATACATTATAAGTTTTATAAATGCAGGCATATCTGTTGTCATAATCCTTGGTGAATGGAGAATAAAAACTTACCATAATTTTCATTTAAATCATAAGTAAATACTATACAAATGTAAACTGGACAGCAAGATCTGCCTCTTGGTGGGGATACAATAAGCTCCCTGATCACACTAGGCTAGCTTTTTATTTCATTTATACCACCGTAGATTTCAGTTTTACTCAACTGACTTGAACAGAATTGTTGAATTTCATGCAGTACAACCAGCTCAATCTGGCCCAGTGATGGGTGCTGAATTAGCTGTCACTGAACAAGAAAAATCAGAATCTATAAGTAACAGAGAAGTATTCAGTAGAAGCACTAATTCAGTACCAAGAGAAATTTTAATTAAAAAAAAAAAAAGTAAAAAGAAATAAAAAGGATGCTGGGATATATTAAACAGACATAACAGGGAAAAGTACGACAGCATTATATCCATTAATGGGGCACCTGAAATGAAGAAAATCTAAATGGGGCACAGAGGGGCGAACTAACTATTAAAAGGGATTTAAAAGATTGGGATTAAATTTTATCTAGAATGCAGAGGAGTAAAAGGGGACACATCTGGGATATCGGTAATAAAAATTTTGATAAAACCAAATTGGTTCCTATCCAGTGTGCTTTGCAATACATCAAAGATACATCCACTGAGATTAAAAGAAAAAATGTGCAGCTTTGATGTAACCTAAAGCTAGAGCCATGCCATCCTGTCCACCAGGATACTGTCCAGGCAAATGATGGCCCAGTTTCTCTTTCATATGCACTACGCCTCTTGAAGTCCATGGAAGCAACTCATTATCTGAAGGCAAAGTCTCATGGTAGGTTAACAGAAAGGGATCATATATTTTGTAGAATAAAAACATAAGTCAGAGATAATTGGCTTAATAATAAAGTGAAATGGTCTTTCTATATAATGGCATGAACTGATGGCCAGCTTCGATCAGGAATGGAACCTATTCCAGATTTCATGGTTTAACATGGACTATTAGTGAGGATAGTGGGGTTTGCCTTAGCTAAAGCCCAGGTTGGGAATTTTGGTTTTGCTCATGATAAAGAAGGAAAGCAAACAGATAGTGGTCTGTCTAGCTCTCACAAGCCTCCATCATGTAACTAAAAAGAGATTAAGGAGTGGCTTCTGCCTTTAAATCTTTTTTTTTTCTTTTTTTTTAAGTCAGTGTGAACCTTATGAAGGGTTCTTATCACTCAAGAGCAAATTGCTTTCCTAAGATGACTAGCTTTAGATCACAAGAGAGTTTCTTAAAGAACTTCAAAACAACAGAGGCATTACCTTTCCTCTCAACTGAAGCAGCAATTACATCTTGTCAACACTGTCTGCTCTGACTAATCCAGAAGTTCAAAGAATCAGCTTTCTTCTTTCCCTCTGAATAAGGAAATAATGGTGCTACTCTGAGAATGATAGCCTCACCTCCAGAAAAAAGTCCTCAGATGTGTGGCTAACAGACTCATAGGACCTAGAGCATATTTCAAATCAATATTCATTCTTAGAGGAAAAGCAAGCAGGTAATGCTGCTGGTCCTATCAGATTCACCTCTCACTTTCCTCAAAGCCTTTCCACAATCTAGTGGATTTTCTTTCAGGATATGGTCTGGCTATTTCTACTAAGAAATATCTTAGTCATTTGCGGTAAGCACTCCTACTTCCCAACAATTTTAGTGGAAACTACACCAGTCAACTGGGTACAAATGAGCAAAGAGACAGGTAAAAGGCTCCATGTGGGACAGATTAATCACAAGATTTCCTACAAGAAGCATAAAAGAGAAAATGGTCTTAGGGGCAGGAAAAGCAGAAGAGCAATTTCTCCTCTCAGTATGCCTCACAACAAGGATCTGAAGATCCTATCAGCTCATTGGTGCTGAACATGACTCAGCTGCAGCCCAAGTGGCAAAGTGGAACTTAAAACTGGGTTTCCCTATTTATCTTCTTATTTCACTTCTTATATTAGGCTGAAGTTTGACTGAAAACAGAATGATCTTGTTTCAGTTTGGGTTTCATACCTTTGGTACACTACAGTGTCAGAAGAACAGAGCAGGCACCAAACTAGCTAAGCACTGTAAAAAAATCATTGGAAGATTTCTAATAAAATATTTTTGTAAGATTTTTTAAATGGAGAGACAGTTATCAAAGAGAAACAATAAACACACTTGTTTTTAAAAAAGCTGCATGGCTTTTAATGAGAAATTTAACCGGCTAACACTGAGCAGCTAAAAGGGTTTAAAATGATGGGTGATAGATGCTGCTCTTTCAGTGATATTCAGCTCTTCACCTCAGTGCCTCTTTCAGAATTTCTCATGAAAGATCCATTTATATTAAGTCAGAGAGTCATGGTGTCCTCAGTTCACCTATTGCTTTTAATTAGCTGATCCCTAATATTCCACAGTGAAAGCGTGCTTCACTTTAAATTCCAAAAGTTTTAACAAGCATGAATACTTCTAGAAGCCTTCTCTCAAAAAAAGCCCAAAGTCTGAATTGTGTTTTTTAAATAATTTATTGAATCACTAAATATAATTTCCTTTACTGTTAACTGGGCAAATAGAAATCCTTTATTTATAGGTGCCATTATCGGATTTCCAGTTATGGTGCTCAGTTCTCCTTCAGCTTTGGAAGGAGCTTAGCCATTGAAGAACCTCACTGCAGATGATAAGACTTTATTACACCGTGGCAGAAAGGGCTGTGTGCCAGCAGCAGATTGTCTGTTTATCCTATATCCATTTCCCACTTAGAAAACACAGCCACTCTCAGAGGATTAGCTACAGTGAGCTCTTTCAGTGGGGATTCAAACTCTGGCAAAAATGTTCCTGTAAAGAGCAATAGAAAAAGACATCTGAGTGACACCTCAGTGCTCCTTTTTATTTTTTTCCCTCCTAATAGTGCTTAGATTTTCACCTTCTTAATCATCTCCCAGGTGAGTGCCCAAGCCGACGGATTATAGAAACGAACTCATTCTTTTTCACTTGCTGTACCCAGTAAGCATCTAATTATTTCCAGCAAAGTGGAACAACTTCAAAGGGCTTGCTTGAGAGTACCTCACCTGTGCATACTCAACCACCAGCAGCTACAGCCCTGCTACACGACACGTGGGCTTCATCTCTAGTTCAGCCCTGAGGAAATCAAATTATAAAATTCAAGCAACGCCAAAAGTATTGCCTCCTGCCCCACTTCTTCAGTGGAATAGGACTTGTCTCACTTCATCCACTGAAATGAAGTGCCTAAACCCAGTAAAGGCCTAAGTATAATTTAAAGAAATAGGTGGCAGATCTTCAGCTGGTGCACGTCTCAGAGGTTATTGATTTTGGAGCTAAATCAATTTGTGCCAGCTAAAGCCTAGGCCCTAGTGAATATGCAAAGTATTACATGAAAAAGTGGTAGGTCTTTTGAGCATCTGTTTCTCCAAACCAGCCTGGGAATTTTTATTATGTCGTAGTTATCATTAATAAAATTTCCAGCTTCTTCCTAAAATAGAAATTTGTCAAATAAACAAACAGTTCAAAAATAACACACCAAGAACTCACACTTTGGGGATCTACTTAACTTTTCTTTTTTTCTGCTTTCAAAGTAATGAGGATGAAAAGAATGGAAATAATCACAGATCAATAGATTTTTAAGAAGGATCCATTATGATAATTTTATTTGACTTCCTGCCTAACACAAATAGGAGAATTTCACTGGCCCATATTTTGTGCTTAGAAAAGTAACAGCTCTTGACTCAAACAACCCAATGGACAGAAAATCCATCAGAAGTCAAGGTAACTTTATTGAGAGGTTAAGACCTCCTACTTTTAAAATGAGCAAGAAGGAAAACCAAAAACACCAGACATTTTATTTATGACCTAAGTTTATTTATGTAAATAACTTTTTGTGCAGTCAAAGACTACTAGGAAGTGCTCTCTTTTTTTCTCTGAATATTTCAGCTGATTTGATCTTTCTAATTAATGATACT